CAGAAATGAGCTGGGTTCTTATCTATTTCTTTTTATTTAAATTTTATTGTATGTATTTAAGGTGTTCAGCATGGTGCCTTGAGATAGATAGATAGGTAGGTAGATAGTGAAGAGGTTGGTATAGTCTAGCAAATTAACCTGTCTGTCATCTCACACAGGTGCTCATTTTAGGTACTTTCAGTATGCCTGAAGTCTCCTCTTTTAGCAAAAATCCCAAATGCAGCACAACAATATTAAGTATAGCCCTCATGTAATCTATTAGCTATTTAAACTTATTGATCCTATGTATCTGTGACTTTGTATCCTTCAACCTACATCTTCTTATTTTCTCCCTTCCTGCCCCTCGTAGCTGCTATTTTATTCTCTATCTCTGTGTATTTGACTGTTTTTTTTTTTTTTAACATATAAATGAGATCATGCAATACTTTTCTTTTTGTGTCTGGCATATTTCACTTAGTATAATGTCCTTCAGATTCATCTATGTTGTGACAAATGGCAGACTCTCCCTCTTTTAAAAAGCTGAATAATATTTCTCTGCATGAGTGTGTGTGTGTGTGTGTACACAGACACACCACATTTTCTTTATCCATTTGTCCATTTGCAGACACTTTGGTTGTTTACAAATCTTGGCTATCGTAAGTAATGTCGCAATGAACATGGGAGTGTAGATATTTTTATGAGGTAGTAGTTTAATTTCCTTTGGATATATATCCATAAGAAGGATTGCTGAGTCATATGGTAGTTCTATTTTTAATTTATTTAGGAATCTCTGCACAGTTTCATACAATGGCTGACCATTCTGCATTCCCACCAACAGAGTATAGGGGTTTCCTTTCCTCTGTACTCTCACCAACGCTTGTCATCTCTTTTCTTTTTGGTAATACCCATCCTAACAGGTGTGAGTTGATAACTTAATATAGTTTTGACTCATATTCCTCTGATGAATAGTGATGTTGAACACCTTTTCATATACCTGTTAGCTGTTTTTATGTTGTCTTTGGAAAAAGATCTATTCAAGTCCTTTGCCAATTTTTGAATAGGGTTGTTTTTCTGTTATTGAGTTGTGTAAATCTTTTAATATATTTTGGATATTAAGCCCTTTATCAGATATATGGTTTGCAAATATTTTCTCTCAGTCTGTTGGCTGCTGTTTTATTTTGTTATTTGTTTTCTTTGCTGTGCAGGAGCTTTTTAGTTTGATGTCTCTATTTTATTTTATTTTATTTTTTATTATACTTTATGTTCTAGGGTACATGTGCACAACGTGCAGTTTTGTTACATATACTTACATGTGCCATGTTGGTTTGCTGCACCCATTAACTCGTCATTTACATTAGGTGTATCTCCTAATGCTATCCCTCCCCGCTTCCCCCACCTCA